CCCTAGAATTACTAGGAATCCTAGTCTGAAAACGAAAATAACAAACACCAGCATCACTAGGATGACTAGGAATCTTTAATTGAAGTCTAAAAAGGAAAGATAAAATAAAATTCAGAAAGGACTTGATCCACTCCGGAGCTTTTAATCCTAACTCTCCCGCTATACATTTTGCTCTGGTCTCTTTTCTAACAAAGTAACATATTATACGACGTCGTTATGCATAAAAATCCTACACTGAGGCGCAGTTTAAACTTGAAGTTGGTTTTTATTGTGTTCAAGTTTTCAGCTCTGTATTTGTAGTGTGACATAAAACAGTAATCTGAGAGTAAAATTTCTCTACATCTCCAACAGAAGAAAAGAAGTAAAAGATTACAAGAATAAAATGAAGCAGCATCCACCAAGGCTTTTGAAATGACTCTGCATAGCGTCTACCTTCTTTTCTTCTTCTTTCTCTTCAGTAACAGCTGGCCTAACTGCCACTTCATACCCTACCTTACTCAATTCGTTCACCACCCACCACAAGTATTTTGCTCTTCGGATCCCAAGTTAGCGAAATGAATTTGATTTAGTATTGGTTACAAATTTGGGGATAGTAGATGAGCTAGAAATTATGAACCACATTTTTTAGGTAAGAAATGTCATTTTACACACTCTAGAAAAATATAATAAAAAGATACACAATCCAAATCATATCACATCATTACTTCATATCTTGGTTATCCTTTACAAATTGTACCCAGTCCGTGACCTCTATTGGCCTCACTGCCTTACGTCCCCGTCTAGTACATTTATCTTTCGGATACCCCATCACTGAAGTTCTCATGTTCCATGAATAATACATACTTCACAAAAACTCCACATAATATATATATATATATATTGTGTGAAATATTTCACAAATTAGACATTCTTGACTTGAAAATAGAGAGAGATTTGTAAATAGAATAAATCCATGATTTTCACATTTATCACAAAATAAGAACTTTTAGAACACATTACATAACTCATTCACCATGATAAATATGAAATATTGCAAGACAACACACACGCTCTTCATATTGTTTCTTTTTCTTCCTTATATATATATTTCTCTCTCTCTAACACTACTTC